ATCCTGGAGTGTGGCGCTCGATTCTGACATCTTAGTTTGATTATCTTCATCATATTTCCTCAAACATTCTAGCAAATATGTCAACCGATTGCTTTCACTAGTAGAAATTTTTGAATTTTTTTCTTAAATGAAAAATTGGTAAATAGTTAGTTCGTTAAATAGTTTCATATCATTAACGAATAGACGATAAAATTGTTGAGGTTTCGTTAAATACTCAGATAATCGTTAACAAACAGACGAAAAAGCGTTAAATAGTTTCATATCGTTAACAAATAGATGATAAAATTGTTGAGGTTTCGTTAAATACTCAGATAATCGTTAACAAACAGACGAAAAAGCGTTAAATAGTTTCATATCGTTAACAAATAGATGATATAATTGTTGAGGTTTCGTCATTATACAAAATATGTTACACAGTACAGAATGTAACTGATTGGAATGAAGCTTACCAATTTCGTAGGTATGCTCCAATTCAGGGGGCAAAACCAAATGAAATGGACCATTCTCCCTTTCATTGGTATGACTTTGGGTGCGACTTTTGGTATTTGATCTGGTACGGCTTCTGCCAGTTCGATGATGTGATCTGGTTCGGCTTCTGCTGGTTCGACGACTTTTAGTATGTGATCTAGTACGGCTTCTGCCAGTTCGATGATGTGATTTGGTTCGGCTTCTGCTGGTTCGACGACTTTTAGTATGTGATCTGGTATGGCTTCTACCTGACCTATCACTTTTATGACTTTGTTCCATAATAAAAGATTATTGTAAAAGAATTATTATTGTACCAAAAATTAACAAACGAGAAAAAGGGAGAATTTTTTTTTTAAGAAAAAATGGCCTTTTTATGTCTATTTTTTTGATCAGTTTTTATTTTGATCAATTTAATTACTCCGGATATAATATTAAGCTAACTTATACTATTAAACTATTTAACTTATACAATTAAACTATTTTCCAAACAAATCGAGTGATATAATCTAATATTATACTAAACTTTGCCAATTTCAAAAAAAAATGGAATAATTAATCCAATACTATACTAATTTTGCTTAATTTTCCAAACAAATCGAATGATATAATCTAATACTATACTGAATTTTGCTTAATTTTTCAAAAAAATCGGAATAATTAATCCAATACTATACTGAATTTTGCTTAATTTTCCAAACAAATC